ACATGAACATGAACACGCAATGCGATGGTGGATGAATAAACAATTGGATTTTTAATATACCTGATGTCACAGTCACAGTCGTAGGCTACATAACCGGTTGACACTAGAAAACATGAATCTTTAAAAAATATAACATAGGGCTTTACAGAACCAATAGGCCCTCATATTGTATGAACAGGTAATCAACCAGGAAACGTGTTTGCCATTAAACATTTTATTTGCACTTTGTACCAAATAATGCAAGGATTGGACAATCTCGTTACAAAAAATGACAACAAAAAACGGTCATGCTTTAGAATTTAAAATCAGCTGCTTACATTCTTACAGTCAATTATCATCATTTGCGTAAAATCCCGAGTTTGTGCTGATCCACCGATCATCCTGATAGAAATATGAAGAAGCCAAGTGAATGACGCACTAATCTAATGTAAAACATCTCCCTGAAGTACAAGTAACGTCACCAAGCGTTCGTTTTTAAACAATAACTTAATCTATACTATTGGCTAATACTTTATTATAGGCCTACTTAAGAGTCTTAAGTATAATAAAGTATTAGCCAATAGATATTAACAAAAATGACCATGGTAAACTGATAATAAGATACGATTAAAGTTAGCATTTAATATTTCTTTGATACGGCCAAATCATTCACAAAATCGTACATAAAGGAATGCGCATGCTCAGACCTGAATCGTTTACACCAATAAGATTGCGGTATTATAAACCAATTAAATTGGGGGTGGGCGGAGCGACACGTGTCGCCCCGCCTAAAAGTGTCGCCCCGCCCCATCGTCCAGACTGCACTCTGGGGTACTACGGTGAAGGTGGGGGAGTATGGGGTGATTATAGTATCAAAATGATTAACACGTGCAAGCACACTTATTAATGAACTTGATACATGTTGCAGAAATGTTTTATCCATGCCTTTCAACTTGCGTGTGCAAAATTCAAAATTGAATGAATGTGAAGCAATTTGTACAAATAGAGACATTTTTGTCTCTATTTGTACAACACCCATAGAAAACCATTATAAAACGCTTAACGTGCAATCGCGCGTTGCATGTTCAAGGTGTATTGGCTACCGAGTTTAAATATCACCGTCTTACTGCATTGACGTTAAGCTTTTTCTTTATAATATGCTCTATGGGAGGAAAACTATATAGCCTACAGACAAGAGACTACATGAACGCAACGCACGGCGTTTCAAGTTAATAAAATTTTAGAATTTTAAAATTTTAAAATTGCAGCTACAGGCCCGCTACGCCAGTTGATTTTCAATTAATATTTCATGTCGATATACAATGGTTGCATATTGTTAAAACTCATCGTGCTATAGTAAGACTATAGCCTATAACAGTGGGGGTCAAGGGAAAACAAATGTACTGCGAAAATCGTCTTTAATATTTAAAAACAGACATTTTCAAATTCCAAAGCTTGTATACTATGTATATGTGTAGTCAGATAAAAATAAGCATATAATATGAACGCAACTGTGAAATTTCACCTTTTTTTTAACAGGAAGGAAAATTGTATTAACTTGAAACGCCGTGCGTTGCGTTCATGTAGTCTCTTGTCTGTAGGCTATATAGTTTTCCTCCCATAGAGCATATTATAAAGAAAAAGCTTAACGTCAATGCAGTAAGACGGTGATATTTAAACTCGGTAGCCAATACACCTTGAACATGCAACGCGCGATTGCACGTTAAGCGTTTTGTAATGGTTTTTCTATGGGTGTTGTTCATAATCTGAGCTAATGTTTGCCTCTATAAAGTATGCTTTATTAATAGGGTAGGCCTATATTATTGTGTACTAAATTTGGTGCTTCAATATCACTCTCATTAAGCGTCTTAAATGCGGAAGAACGCCTGATTATGCTGCCGTTGTCTGTTTTAGCAGAATACTGCCATCTAGTGGTAGCAGGTTTTCTCAGACAGCTGTGTGTGGATCGTGCAAGGCGAAACCCGCGAAATGAAAGTCTCAAAATCCAAATGAATCAAATAGGATCGACTCAGAAACGAGTCAATGAATGCACGCGTGTCACCTGATCCACAAATGCACATCTTACTTGTTGCATGCACAAACTCTGGCCTACATTAATACAAAATCGAGGTTTTGTATTAACAACTATGTCTCTATTTGTACAAAATTCTGCACATTCATGTGATTTTGGATTTTGCACACACAAGTTGTATTGTATTAGTTTAAATGTAGTGACGCACATTTGTGAATTTGTCAAATAGATGTGTAGTTGTGCACACATTAATAATTAGCACCAGGCCTATTCATAGTTGTTTGTGTGTGGGTTGTGAAATGCTTAAAAAACGCGAAAAGAAAGTCTCAAAATCCAAATGAATCAAATGAGATCGACAAAGAAAAGATGTCAATAAATGCACGCGTGTCACCTGATCCACACACGCGCATCTTCTGTGTTGTATGTGCAAATTATGATACACTAATACAAAGGAAAACATTTGTATTCACAAAAATGTCTCTATTTGTACAAATTGCTTCACATTCATTCAATTTTGAATTTTGCACACGCAAGTTGAAAGGCATGGATAAAACATTTCTGCAACATGTATCAAGTTCATTGATAAGTGTGCTTGCACGTGTTAATCATTTTGATACTATAATCATCCCATAGGGGAGAAAAGTTCTTGACTTCAAATGACCGCTCTGTTGCAAAGCTACTTGCGTCACTCCATTTTAGCGAGTCTGACAGCAGATGTCACTGTGGGTATCAGGTGCACGCCCCCCGCTCAGCCCCGCCCTCGTTTCGTCCCCTCTTTCTCCGCTGGGGTCTGCCCACTTTTCCAGCATTTTTCAAATATTGCCAGTGGGTGGAGTCAGGCTCTGACCAGGGGTTTAGTTCAAGGGGGTAATCCATCGACCGGAAGTTGAAGCCGGCCGGGTGCCGCCATCTTGTAGCAGAACTTCACTTGCGTTAGCATTTCCATTGACTACCATTCATTTTGGCGTCACTTTGACAGCGAATAACTTTACATCTGAGGCGTTTAAAGACTCCATTTGTCCATTATTTATTTCTAAAGAAACACGACAATGTATAAATGGCTCCATTACCTTCTATGTTACATTATGGCCCCGTAGAAACAGTTTTAGTAAAAATAGGCTAACGATTGCGTCATAACCACTCGACTCTCTGTCGCGCTGTACAGAAATTACCGTACAGACAGGAGGAGAAGCTCGCAGGCAACCGGGGGGACGTCCCGTCAAGAGAGAAGCCCATAGATAATGAGTCCATAAAAGCAACGGAATACTTACTCCTGCTCACTCACGATAAAGGACTCTTTGCTCAAGTTCCCCGTCTCTGCAAGATTAACGTTGGCAATTTTCACGCACAGCTACTAGAAGATTAACGTCTGTCAGAAAGGTTGCTCACGTCATCAAGCTTAGTTTGAGTCGTCTTAAATGCGGAAGAACGCCTGATTATGCCAAGGGGGTAATCCATCGACAGGAAGTTGAAGTCGGCCGGGTGCCGCCATCTTGTAGCAGAACTTCACTTGAGTTAGCATTTCCATTGACTCCCATTCATTTTGGCGTCACTTTGACAGCGAATAACTTTACATCTGAGGCGTTTAAAGACTCCATTTGTCCATTATTTATTTCTAAAGAAACACGACAATGTATAAAAGGCTCCATTACTTTGTATCTTACTTTATGTTATGGCCCTGTAGAAGCTGTTTTTTAAAAACTAGGCTAACGATTGCGTCATAACACGTGACTCTCTGGCGCACACTAGAGAAAATTACCGTATAGACAGAAGTAGAAACTCGCGCGCAATCGGGGGGACGTCGAGGTATAAAGTCAAGGGAGAAGCCCATAGAGAGTTGTAAAGTTGCTCCTGCTGCGAGCTCATGGACAGCTAATACTCACGATCTCCGGCTCTGCAAGTTTCGGAAGGGAATGATTCAGATTCCTCTTGGCACAGCCACTAGAAGATTTGCGTCTGTCAGACAGGTTGCTCACGTCATCAAGCTTAGTTTGAGTCGGTTTGAGTCTGCGCGTCAGGAACGGAAGTGCTCAGAAATCGCTAAAAGTGGGCTTCAACTGTCTCAACTGAGTTCCAATGAGATCGCTCTGTCCACTTCTTATACTGTCTATGGTTTAGTTACCCTTTAAATCCTGGTTCTCTTGCTCAACACTGCCCTCTTCTGGCCAGGAGGCGTTTCCTTTGTGTTGTGGATTCATTCTTTTGTTTCAACAGAAATAAAACAAATTCCAAAAGCATAGAACAGCAGCAGGAAACATGAAAACATTATTTCCGGTCACATATTTTTGATTCTAGGACATATTATGAAAATAAAAATCTCACATGCATAATTGGGTATTATGTTTTTTATTACTTGCCCCTAAACAGCACATACATTTATGTATACATCAATATCAAGCTCTCAGTCGCACTGTTGGCCTGAATATCAGCACATATGCATAATTATAACCATATTTATAAGCTTTATACTTTAACATGAGGAAGACATATTGTGTTACTTTATAACATTAAATTGGTAGTTCAGACAAAAACATTATTTATTCACCCACTTTTGATGGTTTTGTTCTTTTTGTAACATAACAATTGTAGTCACTATAAATAGCTGTAATTGCAAGAGCTGTTAACATATTCTTTAAAAAATGTACAATAGCATACTGATATTATAGTGAGAATTCAAGAGCACAATGTCCACGTTTGGAGACATACATGTATAATTTCACCAAAGAGCTCACCTATGATCACTATGATCAGAACAGCGTTCAACAGAGCAGATATGAAGATAATAATCTGCCAATGTGTCTGATTCCTCTCAATGTACTTCACCGCTGTATGATTCTGGATCTGGAGTTGGAGTTGTGTATTCATTGGAGGGGTTTAATAATAATATTTCATATGTATTTGTCTAACAGTGATTAAGTGTTTAGATTGATGATCACTGAATGTTCACTCACCGCTGATGTGTATTCTGGTGCCGTCGCTGTATTTTGGAGGAGCGTCTGTGGTCACACAGTAATAAAGTCCTAAATCATCAATAGTGACATTATTTATGAATAGATGAGGTTTTCTTTGCACTGAATATTTGTGTCTAAATCTATTATTGTAGTAATGAGGAGCTGCAGATGAGAAAGTGCGTAATATCAGAACCGGAGAATCTGGTAGTTTCAGTAATAACCAGTTAACCTCCTTTACATCAAAATCACAGTTTATAGACACATTTTGACCCAAATCTGTTAGTTGATCAGTTAAAGTCTCCGCAGCTTCACACCATATGAGCAGATCTGTGAAATAAACACACACACACACTAAATATGGATTATTGTGTCATTAAACATTATAAATCAACTTATAAAGAACAATCATATATTGATAAAGTACATTAACTCACAGAGGTGAAGCTGCACAATCTTCATGATGTTAAAACACTTGTTTCTTTCACACGACTGTAGAGATGTAACTTTAGCTCAGAGCTTTCAGACGGATAGTGTGCTTTAACCACAGTCAAGAGGAAGTTAAAGGCAGGTTTGCTCTGGCCACACGTTTAGTTCTGGTGTCTATTGGTTCAAAACTCAAACCTTGACCTATACATCATTTCTTGTCTTTAAAAATATATATATATTTATCTCTAATTCACTGCAACAAAAGGACCCACGACACTGAGAACAGCCCCGTTTTCTTTTTTTCAGTGTCATTCAAACACAAATATGATGTTTTCTTCAACTGTATTCTCGTTCTAACTCATAAGTTTAGATGAGGTTTTAAGTTTCTGTCTCTTAAAGGAGAACTCCGGCGCAAAATGAACCTTTGGTCTAATTACACATTGTTACCTAGTCAACCGTTATCTGAGATTTGTTTTCATGATTATCGAATGTAAATAGTTTTATCTCTAAAAACAGTTTAGCCTATAAAGCTAGTATAACGCTAGTATATTGGGCATAGTGTAATGACAAATAAAAATCGCTTGTTAATACCACTAACAAGGCTCAAAATAGCCCCACACTAACACGGTAGCATAATGAGGGTCCCTACCTTCAAACCGAAGCATTGAGAACTTTGTCAGTGTACAGACAGTTTAATAAGAAGATATTTTAAACATACAGTCAACTTCGCGTATACAGGCAGAAGCCATCTTTGAAAAAGAGTCTCTACCAGTTGATCTACGAACGCCGATCCAAGTGCGCTGGTGAGATGTGAACGAGCTATAAGTTGTGATAAGGTGAGCGCGAACAGCAGGCTTGGATCGGCGTTCGTAGATCGACTGGTAAAGGCTGTATTTCAAAGATGGCTTCTGCCTGTATACGCGAAGTTGACTGTATGTTTAAAATATCTTCTTATTAAACTGTCTGGACACTGACAAAGTTCTCAATGCTTCGGTTTGAAGGTAGGGACCCTCATTATGCTACCGTGTTAGTGTGGGCTATTTTCAGCCTTGTTAGTGGTATTAACAAGCGATTTTTATTTGTCATTACACTATGCCCAATATACTAGCGTTATCCTAGCTTTATAGGCTAAACGGTTTGTAGAGATAAAACTATTTACATTCGATAATCATGAAAACAAATCTCAGATAACGGTTGACTAGGTAACAATGTGTAAATAGACCAAAGGTTCATTTTGCGCCGGAGTTCTCCTTTAATATTACAACCATAAACAATATTTATCCTCGAGGCAAGTCAGTACTCTATGTATTTTAATTAATCTGGATTGAATTTCATTTTGATTTGTTATACAATTTATTAATCTTTGTTAATGTTAGTTAATACAAATTCAGCAGTTCATTGTTAGTTCATGTTCGCTCAGGTTCATTAAATTATATTAACAGATAAGGCTTGTGTTTTTAATAATGTACTTCATTAAATTTCAATTAAAAATTAAATTAGCATGAACTAAAATAATAACTGCTGTAGAAGTATTTCTTTTTTTATTTTATTGTTAGTTCATGATGGTTAAGTTTAACAAATGGATCATAATTGTAAAGTGTTATTATGGTGTTTCATGTCATGTTCACTTGGTTAAAGTTGAAACCGCTTGATGCATGCGAGTGTGTGTGATCGTGTTGTTCATCAAGTGACCAAACCAGTGGAACACTTCATTTGCACGAAACCATGCTTGTGTTAACCACAAAAAAGAAAACCACAAAAGTTAGATGTTTTTAAATATGTGAAACAATATTTAAAAATATGAATATGCATGCCAGAAAATATCTTTAGATTTATTGACATTTGTTCAAGCTTAGTCAAATCTCTGTAAAAAATAAACTAGCAGAAAATGTCATGATTTCAAAAAAAAAATTTATGTGAAGTGTGATTTAATATCAGGAATAACTACATTTTTTACTGATAAAAAGCTGCTTCAGCCCCAAGAAAGCTCATTTTGAGGTTTACAACTTTTACTGCTGAACATGTCAGCGCACTTATAATAGAGAGAGAACAATGATTATATTATTATATATAAGCAAGATCTCCACTTAAAACAGTACCAGCAAAAAGTGTTACTATCATACACACTGCACATTTACATACAAAGCAGCAAACGCATAAATGAAAATGGAAATTAAAATCCACACATTTAAAACATAATAACAGTCAATTTTAGTTTGTAAAAAAAAAAAACATATGTAGGTACACTTTATATTCATAACATGTATCACATCGTACATTGGCTGTAGACAGTAGTGCTCTGCTCCTGACTAGGCCTGGTGTTTCTGGAGCTCATGAAGAAATCAACTTCAGCACACTGAAAGAGGACCATTTTATATATGAATGGACATATACAGTATATTAGACATAATGTACAGTCAGCTGGTCATCATCATTTCAGATCATTTAATGAATCTTGTGTATGCAGCTTGAAGTTGCACTGTAAGAATCACCAGGATAATAGAGGACAAAATAAGATAACATATATTAATATTGAAGATGCATCTTACCTGTGGATTATTCGAGTTTTGAGAAGCAGATTTTCCAGTTGCATCAATGAATCTCTTCATCAAACCTGAAACACACTGAATATGAAACATCACTGAATTCACACATTGTCACAGTCCAAGAGCCGATTCACAGAGAATGTGTTTTACTGTGAAAAATGTGAGATTCAGAAAAAAGTGTCTATAGAAATGCTTTTTTTTTTAAGTTGAACTTTTTTAGCATTTTCAGAACGGCATGTCTCGCACGAGACGCTGCAAAAGAAGACAGACGTGAGCGCAACAGTTAAACACGTTTAGTGTGTGTTTACATTAAAAGACAATGCAAAAGTAGCGCAGCGGAATAGAAAAACACGTTCTGTGTGAACCGGCTACATTTGTGTAGATCTAGAGTTTGTCTCCTTGTAGTTCACTGACACTTTTACTGTAGTAAAAAAAGAACAAACCTATTAATGCAATGATCAGAAGCACATTCAGCAGGACAGATATGAAGATGGTCATTTTCTCCATGGTATCTGGTGTTGTGGAGCGTCATCTGTCTGATTCCTGTGGACCGAGTCTGTAATATTCTTTTGGACAAAGTCTGTAAAAGGTTTGTAGTTCAATCTTTCAATTTCAGTCTTTAACAGAACAATAAAACTATTATTAGTTCTTCATACAGTATATCCAATATGGACTCCATCATGTGGTTTATAAAGACATGAAATGATAAAATAACTCACCGCTGATGTAGATTTTGGTGCCGTTGTTGAATTTTAGTGGTTCACTAGTTTTCACACAATAATAAACTCCTAATTCATCAATGGTGATATTCTTGATGAACAGACGACTGTTAGTTTTCACTGAGTATTTGTGTTCAGAGATGCTGTTTTCATATTCACCTCCTTCATATGTGCTGCTGAAAGAGCGTAAGATCAACACTGGAGGATCCGGTAATTTCAGTTTGTACCAGTAAATCTCCTTTATATCAAGATCACAGGTTATATTCACATCAGATCCTAAAGTTACTGGTGTGTTTGTTAGACTCTCTGTGGCTCGATACAACATGAACAGATCTATGACAGAAAGAAATACACATTTATTAAGATATAAAAGAAAACTGACTCATTCAAATGTGAGATGAGAAACTCACAGATCTGCAGCTGTATGATCTTCATGATCTGATCCAGATGAATAATATCTGCTATAGTGATCATTCACACATCTCGTACTGTGAGCGGAAACACAAACCTCGACCACACAGACGAGAGGGGAAGTCAGAGCTGGGCTTCTCTGACAACATCATCATTCTTAGTGCTTTAAATCAACAAGTAATTAGAAGATATAGTTTGTGTTAATATGCCAGTGTGTTTTATTTGAATACACAGATGTGTGAATTTTGATTTGCTCCTCAAAAAAACACATCATTAAAAAATTGTATTTATTTATTTTTTGCTACCAGCACCAGGTGACATCAGATTGAGCTGTGACTAAAATGCCATTGCAAAGACTCATGCTTAAAGAAAACATCTGATGATATCTTGATGAACAGATGAAACCAAAGCCATCAATGTGCATCTCTGACTGGCTGTGTGCTTCCCGGTCCTCTGTGGTTTTATTGTCTCTTTTCACGCCAATCACTGCAACAAGACACGGGTGTTTGTCATTTTGCACTTGAACCATTTAAACCACTCGTCTCTATGAGGTGTGATTTGTGATTTACTTTACAAACTGAGCAATCATCGTGTCGATCGTTGCGTACCTTGCCTTGACCAATCACGTGTGATAAGAATCATGACACTTTCGTTTCATTTACGCTTGTTTGCTTGTCTGGGAGAAGTGTTTTTTTCTTGTTTTGGAAGGGGCAAGTGAAAGAGAATTTTACTTCAGTTTTCGCCGAAGCTCTGTATATTTCTATGGCATCGCTGTCAAAGAGTAATTAACTGTAATTAACTGTAGTCATTTGCTTATTGTTAACGGAAGCTTATCATGAGCTTTGTAATGTTTGAAGTGGATGTCATGACAAATGTCGGCCCAGGAAGATTTCACTCAAAAATCCATAAGATCTTACATTCATGCTCTGGAAATCCAAACCGGAAGACACATCGAGAGCAGCGCTGAAAAGGTTTGCCTCTACACAAGTTTGCCTCTTATGAACAAGGGGGTAATCCATCCGCCGGAAACTGAAGCTTCCTCTGGGAGCCGCCATTGTAGCAGACTATCACCTGCTGTTAGCATCCCATTGACTCCCATTCATTTTGGCGTCACTTTGACAGCGAATAACTTTACATCTGAGGCGGAAGCCTGCAGAACCATAGGCCGTGCCACATTAGATGGCACTTTAGGCACATAGCCTGGCATGGGAGGCAAGTTTAAAGACTCCATTTGTCCATTATTTATTTCTAAAGAAACACAACAATGTATAAAAGGCTCCATTACTTTGTATCTTATGTTATGGCCCCATAGAAGCCGTTTTTGTAAAAATAGGCTGACGATTGCATCATAACACGCGACTCTCTGTCGCACACAAGAGAAATTACCGTAAGTAGAAGCTCGCAGGCAATCGGGGGGACGTGGAGGCATAAAGTCAAGGGAGAAGCCCATAGAGAGTCATAAAGTTGCTGCTCATGGACAGCTCCTACTCACGATCTCCGGCTCTGCAAGATTCGGAAGGGAATGATTCAGATTCCTCTTGGCACAGCAACTAGAAGACTTACAACTGTCAGACAGGTTGCTCACGTCACATCTACGTCGTCCAGCTCAGTTTGAGCCTGCGCAGTTTGCTTGGCTATCAGGAAGTGAGTGCTTCTATTTGACTTCAATTCTCTCCGTTGAAATCAATGGGGTCGCAGTCTTTTACTGTCTATGCTTATGAACAGTGATTTTACTGATAATAAACCTATACATAAAATACATTTACAACACAGTAAAATAAATGATGAACACATGATAAAGGTCTCTAAATAAGTTTTAATATGACCTAAATTTAGCAAATAGACAAAATCCACATCCTTAGATTTAGTCCTTACATATTTTTACCTTGTGTTTTTAAAGCACAGTGAACAAACAAGGTTCACAACACAACGGAAATGCAACTTGGTTTTATTTTGTACACTTATAGGCAATGTAGTCAATATAGTCAATGTTTTTGATTTATTGTCAGTAAAAAAAAAAAAAATCCTGGTTCTCTTGCTCAACACTGCCCTCTTGTGGTCAGGAGGCGTTTCCTTTGTAATGTGGATTCATTTTTTTTGTTTCAATAGAAATAAACAAATTCCAAAAGCATTGAACATCAGCAGGAAACATGAAAACATTATTTCTGGTCACATATTTCTGATTCTAGGATATATTATGAAAATGAAAATCTCACATGCATAATTGGTTATATATTACTTGCCCCTAAACAGCACATACATTTATGTATACATCAATATCAAGCTCTCAGTCGCACTGTTGGCCTGAATATCTGCACATATGCATAATTATAACCATATTTATAAGCTTTATACATTAACATAGAGGAAGACATATTGTGTTACTTTATATTTTCATGTAACATATCAGTGTTTGTGTTGAGTCTTGAGGTTGTTCCAAATCCATATCTTGAAGATTTTGTAGGTCTGTACGTTGAAATTGTTTCAAGTCGTCTCCGTTTCTTGCATGAACAAACATCTTTAATAGTCCTTAAAAGTGAAATAAGATTTAACATTAAATGAGTAGTTCAGACAAAAACATTATTTATTCAACCCACATTTCATGGTTTTGTTATTTCTGTAACATAACAATTGTAGTCACTATAAAGAGCTGTAACTGCAAGAGCTGTTAACATATTCTTAACATATTCTTTTTAAATAACATACTGATATTATAGTGAGAATTCAAGAGCACAATGTCCACGTTTGGAGACATACATGTATAATTTCACCAAAGAGCTCACCTATGATCACTCTGATCAGAACAGCGTTCAACAGAGCAGATATGAAGATAATAATCTGCCAATGTGTCTGATTCCTCTCAATGTTCTTCACCGCTGTATGATTCTGGATCTCTGGAGTTGGAGTTGGTACTGTGTATTCATTGAAGGGGTTTAATATTAATATCTCATATGTATTTGTCTAACAGTGATTAAGTGTTTAGCTTGATGATCACTGAATGTTCACTCACCGCTGATGTGTATTCTGGTCCCGTCGCTGTATTTTGGATGAGCATCTTTGGTCACACAGTAATAATCTCCTAAATCATCAATAGTGACATTATTTATGAACAGGCGATGATTACTTTGCACTGAATATTTCTGCCTAAAAGCTTGACTGTAGTAAAAAGTAGCTGAACCTGTGGAAGAGAGTAATATGAATATCAGAACCGGAGAATCTGGTAGTTTCAGTAATAACCAGTTAACCTCCTTTACATCAAAATCACAGTTTATAGACACATTTTGACCCAAATCTGTTAGTTGATCAGTTAAAGTCTCTGCAGCTTCACACCATATGAGCAGATCTGTGAAATAAACACCACACACACACTAAATATGGATTATTGTGTCATTAAACATTATAAATCAACTTATAAAGAACAATCAGATATTGATAAAGTACATTAACTCACAGAGGTGAAGCTGCACAATCTTCATGATGTTAAAACACTTGTTTCTTTCACACGACTGAAGAGATGTAACTTTACCTCAGAGCTTTCAGACGGATAGTGTGCTTTAACCACAGTCAAGAGGAAGTTAAAGGCAGGTTTGCTCTGGCCACACGTTTAGTTCTGGTGTCTCTTTGTTCAAAACTCAAACCTTGACCTATACATCATTTCTTGTCTTTAAAAAACTATTTATCTCTAATTCACTGCAGCAAAAGGACCCAAGACACTGAGAACAGCCCCGTTTTCTTTTTTTCAGTGTCATTCAAACACAAATATGATGTTTTCTTCATCTATTCTCGTTCTAACCCATGATTATTAACTCATAAGTTTAGATGAGGTTTTAAGTTTCTGTCACTTAATATTACAACCATAAACAATATTTATCCTCAAGACAAGTCAGTACTCTATGTATTTTAATTAATCTGAATGAATTTCTTTTTGACTAGTACTTCTTTTTAACTAGAAAATAGTAAGAAGTGTGAAACTTATTTCTAACATTTGTTATACAAATTATTAATCTTTGTTAATGTTAGTTAATACAAATTCAGCAGTTCATGTTAGCTCAGGTTCATTAAATAATATTAACAAATACAGCTTGTGTTTTAATACTTCAATACATTTCAATAACAATTCAATTAGCATGAACTAAAATTAATAACTGCTGTAGAAGTATTTCCTTTTTTATTGTTAGTTCATGATAACTAATGAGGATAACTTTAACAAATGGAACATAATTGTAAAGTGTTATCATGGTGTTTCATGTCATGTTCACTTGGTTAAAGTTGAAACCGCTTGATGCATGCGAGTGTGTGTGATCGTGTTGTTCATCAAGTGACCAAACCAGTGGAACACTTCATTTGCACGAAACCATGCTTGTGTTAACCACAAAAAAAAAAACCTGTGCAAAAGGTAGATGTTTTTAAAAATGTGAAAAAATATTAAAAACAATTATTATGCATGCAGAAAATATCGTTAAATTTATTTACATTTATTTTCTTGACAATGTTATGTGATGTGTGATTTAATATCAAGAATAACTGCTCATAAAAAAAGCTGCTTCAGCCTCAAGAAAGCTCATTTTGAGGTTTACAACTTTTACTGCTGAGCATGTCAGCGCACTTATAATAGAGAGAGAACAATGATTATATTATTATATATAAGCAAGATCTCCACTTAAAACAGTACCAGCAAAAAGTGTTACTATCCACACTGCAAACGGAAATTATATATGGAAATTATAAATTAAAATTCACACATTTAAAACATAATAACAGTAAATTTTATTTTGTAAAAAAAAAAAAAAAGCATATGTAGGTACACTTTATATTCATAACGCGTATCACATCGTACATTGGCTGTAGACAGTAGTGCTCTGCTCCTGACTAGACCTGGTGTTTCTGGAGCTCATGAAGAAATCAACTTCAGCACACTGAAAGAGGACCATATTATATATGAATGGCCATATACAGTATATTAGACATAATGTACAGTCAGCTGGTCATAAACATTTCAGATCATTTAATGAATCTTGTGTATGCAGCTTGAAGTTGCACTGTAAGAATCACCGGGATAATAGAGGACAAAATAAGATAACATATATTAATATTGAAGATGCATCTTACCTGTGGATTATTCGAGTTTTGAGCAGCAGATTTTCCAGTTGCATCAATGAATCTCTTCACCAAACCTGAAACACACTGGATATCTGAGAGGTGTCTCGAGAGATGCGTTTTTTAAAAGTTAAACTTTTTTAGCATTTTCAGAGCGGCATGTCTCGCACGAGATGCTGCAAAAGAAGACAGACGTGAGCGCAACAGTTAAATGAGTTTAGTGTGTGTTTACATTAAAAAACAATGCAAAAGTATCGCAGCGGAATAGAAAAACACGTTCTGTGTGAACCGGCTACATTTGTGTAGATCTAGAGTTTGTCTTCTTAGTTCACTGACACTTTTACTGTAGTAAAACAAGAACAAACCTATTAATGCAATGATCAGAAGCACATTCAGCAGGACAGATATGAAGATGGTCATATTTCTCCATGGTATCTGGTGTTGTGGAGCGTCATCTGTCTGATTCCTGTGGACCGAGTCTGTAATATTATTATGGACAAAGTCTGTAAAAGGTTTGAAGTTCAATCTTTAACAGAACCATGAAACTATTATTAGTTCTTCATACGTTATATTCAATAATGACTCAATCATGTGGTTTATAAAGACATGAAATGATAAAATAACTCACCGCTGATGTAGATTTTGGTGCCGTTGTTGAATTTTAGTGGTTCACTAGTTTTCACACAATAATAAACTCCTAATTCATCAATGGTGATATTCTTGATGAACAGACGACTGTTAGTTTTCACTGAGTATTTGTGTTCAGAGATGCTGTTTTCATTTTTAGGTCCTTCATATGTGCTGCTGTAAGTGCGTAAGATAAACACTGGAGGATCCGGTAATTTCAGTTTGTACCAGTAAATCTCCTCTATATCAAGATCACAGGTTATATTCACATCAGATCCTAAAGTTACTGGTGTGTTTGTTAGACTCTCTGTGGCTTGATACAACATGAACAGATCTATGACAGAAAGAAATACACATTTATTAAGATATAAAAGAAAACTGACTCAATCAAATGTGACATGAGAAACTCACAGATCTGCAGCTGTATGATCTTCATGATCTGATCCAGATGAATAATATCTGCTATAGTGATCATTCACACATCTCGTACTGTGAGGAAACACAAACCTCGACCACACAGACGAGAGGGGAAGTCAGAGCTGGGCTTCTCTGACAACATCATCATTCTTAGTGCTTTAAATCAACAAGTTATTAGAAGATATAGTTTGTGTTAATATGCCAGTGTGTTTTATTTGAATATACAGATGTGTGAATTTTGATTTGCTCCTCAAAAAAACACATCATTAAAAAATTGTATTTATTTATTTTTTGCTACCAGCACCAGGTGACATCAGATTGAGCTTTGACTAAAATGCCATTGCAAAGACTCATGCTTCAAGAAAACATCTGATGATATCTTGATGAACAGATGAAACCAAAGCCATCAATGTGCATCTCTGACTGGCTGTGTGCTTCCCGGTCCTCTGTGGTTTTATTGTCTCTTTTCACGCCAATCACTGCAACAAGACACGGGTGTTTGTCATTTTGCACTTGAACCATTTAAACCACTCGTCTCTATGAGGTGTGATTTGTGATTTACTTTGCAAACTGAGCAATCATCGTGTCGATCGTTGCGTACCTTGCCTTGACCAATCACGTGTGATAAGAATCATGACACTTTCATCGCCCCCCTTCTCGCCTCTACATGTGCATTGTGGCAAAATAATTATTTGAAAATCTTAGCCTAATAAAACTTTATAAATAAACACAAAATATTTGTTAAAAATTATGAAAGGAAATGTTTTTATTTAACTATTGTTTAACATTTTAATTGATTATTTTATTAGGCTATATCAATATCAACCGCTCACCCTCCGACTACTTTAAGTCTGTCCCGACTATTTAAGCTTTCTGGGGCACAGAGCAGAAAAAGGTAAAGGAAAAATAATAAGCTTAACCTATTATTATTATTACTTTTAAGTCTTTAAATTGATCAACATTTAATAATGGTTAACTCTGGTTCAACTTTGCATTTCAGCGCTCGACATTTACGCTTGTTTGCTTGTCCGGGAGAAGTGTTTTTTTCTTGTTTTGGAAGGGGCAAGTGAAAGAGAATTTTACTTCAGTTTTTGCCGAAGCTCTGTATATTTCTATGGCATCGCTGTCAAAGAGTAATTAACTGTAATTAACTGTAGTCATTTACTTATTGTTAACGGAAGCTTATCATGAGCTTTGTAATGTTTGAAGTGGATGTCATAACAAATGTCGGCCCAGGAAGATTTCACTCAAAAATCCATAAGATCTTACATTCATGCTCTGGAAATCCAAACCGGAAGACACATCGAGAGCAGCGCTGAAAAGGGGCGGGGCTTCACAAGTTTACCTCTTATGAACAAGGGGGTAATCCATCCGCCGGACACTGAAGCTTCCTCTGGGAGCCGCCATTGTAGCAGACTATCACCTGCTGTTAGCATCCCATTGACTCCCATTCATTTTGGCGTCACTTTGACAGCGAATAACTTTACATCTGAGGCGGAAGCCTGCAGAACCATAGGCCGTGCCACATTAGATGGCACTTTAGGCACATAGCCTGGCATGGGATGCAAGTTTAAAGACTCCATTTGTCCATTATTTATTTCTAAAGAAACACAACAATGTATAAAAGGCTCCATTACTTTGTATCTTATGTTATGGCCCCATAGAAGCCGTTTTTGTAAAAATAGGCTAACGATTGCATCATAACACGCGACTCTCTGTCGCACACAAGAGAAATTACCGTAAGTAGAAGCTCGCAGGCAATCGGGGGGACGTGGAGGCATAAAGTCAAGGGAGAAGCCCATAGAGAGTCATAAAGTTGCTGCTCATGGACAGCTCCTACTCACGATCTCCGGCTCTGCAAGATTCGTAAGGGAATGATTCAGATTCCTCTTGGCACAGCTACTAGAAGACGTACAACTGTCAGACAGGTTACTCACGTCACATCTACGTCGTCCAGCTCAGTTTGAGCCTGCGCAGTTCGCTTGGCTATCAGGAAGTGAGTGCTTCTATTGGCCTTCAATTCTCTCCGTTGAAATCAATGGGGTCGCAGTCTTTTACTGTCTATGCTTATGAACAGTGATTTTACTGATAATAAACCTATACATAAAATACATTTACAACACAGTAAAATAAATGATGAACACATGATAAAGGTCTCTAAATAAGTTTTAATATGACCTAAATTTAGCAAATAGACAAAATCCACATCCTTAGATTTAGTCCTTACATATTTTTACCTTGTGTTTTTAAAGCACATGCAGTGAACAAACAAGGTTCACAACACAACGGAAATGCAACTTGGTTTTATTTTGTACACTTATAGGCAATGTAGTCAATATAGTCAATGTTTTTGATTTATTGTCAGTAAAAAAAAAAAAAAATCCTGGTTCTCTTGCTCAACACTGCCCTCTTGTGGTCAGGAGGCGTTTCCTTTGTAATGTGGATTCATTTTTTTGTTTCAATAGAAATAAACAAACTCCAAAAGCATTGAACATCAGCAGGAAACATGAAAACATTATTTCTGGTCACATATTTCTGATTCTAGGATATATTATGAAAATGAAAATCTCACATGCATAATTGGTTATATATTACTTGCCCCTAAACAGCACATACATTTATGTATACATCAATATCAAGCTCTCAGTCGCACTGTTGGCCTGAATATCAGCACATATGCATAATTATAACCATATTTATAAGCTTTATACATTAACATAGAGGAAGACATATTGTGTTACTTTATATTTTCATGTAACATATCAGTGTTTGTGTTGAGTCTTGAGGTTGTTCAAAATCCATATCTTGAAGATTTTGTAGGTCTGTACTTTGAAATTGTTTCAAGTCGTCTCCGTTTCTTGCATGAACAAACATCTTTAATAGTCCTTAAAAGTGAAATAAGATTTAACATTAAATGAGTAGTTCAGACAAAAACATTATTTATTCACTCACATTTCATGGTTTTGTTCTTTCTGTAACATAACAATTGTAGTCACTATAAAGAGCTTTAACTGCAAGAGCTGTTATTTAAAAAATGTACAATAGCATACTGATATTATAGTGATAATTCAAGAGCACAATGTCCACGTTTGGAGACAAACATGTATAATTTCACCAAAGAGCTCACCTATGACCACTATGATCAGAACAGCGTTCACCAGAGCAGATATGAAGATAATAATCTGCCAATGTGTCTGATTCCTCTCAATGTTCTTCACCGCTGTATGATTCTGGATCTCTGCAGCTGGAGTTGGTACTGTGTATTCATTGAAGGGGTTTAATATTAATATTTCATATGTATTTGTCTAACAGTGATTAAGTGTTTAGCTTGATGATCACTGAATGTTCACTCACCGCTGATGTGTATTCTGGTGCCGTCGCTGTATTTTGGAGGAGCGTCTTTGGTCTCACAGTAATAAAGTCCTAAATCATCAATAGTGACATTATTTATGAACAGGCGATGATTACTTTGCACTGAATATTTCTGCCTAAAAGCTTGACTGTAGTAAAAAGTAGCTGAAGTTGTGGAAGAGAGTAATATGACAACCGGAGAATCTGGAAGTTTCAGCAAAAACCAATAAACCTCCTTTACACCAAAATCACAGTTTATAGACACATTTTGACCCAAATCTGTTAGTTGATCAGTTAAAGTCTCCGCAGCTTCACACCATATGAGCAGATCTGTGAAATAAACACCACACACACATAATATGGATTATTGTGTCATTAAACATTATAAATGATCTTACAAAAAAACAATCATATATTGATAAAGTACATTAACTCACAGAGGCGAAGCTGCACAATCTTCATGATGTTAACACACTTGTTTCTTTCACACGACTGTAGAGATGTAACTTTACCTCAGAGCTTTCAGACGGATAGAGTGATTTAACCACAGTCAAGAGGAAGTTAAAGGCAGGTTTGCTCTGGCCACACGTTTAGTTCTGGTGTCTATTTGTTCAAAACTCAACCATTGACCTATACATCATTTCTTGTCTTTAAAAAAATATATATTTATCTCTAATTCACTGCAACAAAAGGACCCAAGACACTGAGAACAGCCCGTTTTCTTTTTTTCCAGTGTCATTCAAACACAAATATGATGTTTTCTTCAACTATTCTCGTTCTTTGATTATTAACTCATAAGTTTAGATGAGGTTTTTAGTTTCTGTCTCTTGATATTACAACCATAAACAATATTTATCCTGAAGACAAGTCAGTACTCTATGTATTTTAATTAATCTGGATTGAATTTCTTTTTGTCTAGTACTTCTTTTTAACTAGAAAATAGTAAGAAGTGTGAAACTTATTTCTAACATTTGTTTTACAAATTATTAATCTTTGTTAATGTTAGTTAATCTTATTCTTTGTTAATGTTAGTTAATCTTATTCTTTGTTAATGTTAGTTAATACAAATTCAGCAGTTAGTTCATGTTAGCTCAGGTTCATTAAATAATATTAACAAATACAGCTTGTGTTTTAATACTTCAATAAATTGCAATAACAATTCAATTAGTATGAACTAAAATTAATAACTGTTGTAGAAGTATTTCCTTTTTTATTGTTAGTTCATGATAACTAATGAGGTTAACTTTTGGAAACATAATTGTAAAGTGTTATCATGGTGTCTCATGTCATGTTCACTTGGTTAAAGTTGAAACCGCTGGATGCATGCGAGTGTGTGTGATCGTGTTGTTCATCAAGTGACCAAACCAGTGGAACACTTCATTTGCACGAAACCATGCTTGTGTTAACCACAAAAAAAACCTGTGCAAAAGGTAGATGTTTTTAAAAATGTGAAAAAATATTAAAAACAATTATTATGCATGCAGAAAATATCGTTAAATTTATTTACATTTATTTTCTTGACAATGTTATGTGATGTGTGATTTAATATCAAGAATAACTGCTCATAAAAAAAGTACACTGTAAAAAAAATTGCTGTAATTATGCAGCTGTTTGCCAGTAACTTACTGTAGATTTAAATTGATGTATATTTACTGGCAACAGTTTGTTCAAAGTTAAATGAACATTAAACATTAACAAGTATTTGTCTTTACAGAATAAAATTATAAAATAACAATCTAATGCAAAGCATTCTGGGAACCAGAAATCTTCATCAACCTTTTTCTGTTTTTTTCCTTCAGATTTTGGTTCCCAGAATGCTTTGCATGAGGCTGTTATTTTAGTTTTATTCTGTAAAGATAAAGACTTGTTAATGTTTAATGTTCATTTAACTTTGAACAAACTGTTGCCAGTAAATAACATCAATTTAAAACTACAGTAAGTTACTGGCAAGCAGCTGCCAGTAATACTGTAATTTCTACAGATGTTTTTTACAGTGTAGCTTCAGCCTCAAGAAAGCTCATTTTGAGGTTTACAACTTTTACTGCTGAGCATGTCAGCGCACTTATAATAGAGAGAGAACAATGATTATATTATTATATATAAGCAAGATCTCCACTTAAAACAGTACCAGCAAAAAGTGTTACTATCCACACTGCAAACGGAAATTATGTATGGAAATTATAAATTAAAATTCACACATTTAAAACATAATAACAGTAAATTTTATTTTGTAAAAAAAAAAAAAAAGCATATGTATGTACACTTTATATTCATAATGCGTATCACATCGTACATTGGCTGTAGACAGTAGAGCTCTGCTCCTGACTAGGCCTGGTGTTTCTGGAGCTCATGAAGAAATCAACTTCAGCACACTGAAAGAGGACCATATTATATATGAATGACCATATACAGTATATTAGACATAATGTACAGTCAGCTGGTCATAAACATTTCAGATCATTTAATGAATCTTGTGTATGCAGCTTGAAGTTGCACTGTAAGAATCACCGGGATAATAGAGGACAAAATAAGATAACATATATTAATATTGAAGATGCATCTTACCTGTGGATTATTTGAGTTTTGAGCAGCAGATTTTCCAGTTGCATCAATGAATCTCTTCACCAAACCTGAAACACACTGGATATCTGAGAGGTGTCTCGAGAGATGCGTTTTTTAAAAGTTAAACTTTTTTAGCATTTTCAGAGCGGCATGTCTCGCACGAGATGCTGCAAAAGAAGACAGACGTGAGCGCAACAGTTAAATTAGTGTAGTGTGTGTTTACATTAAAAAACAATGCAAAAGTATCGCAGCGGAATAGAAAAACACGTTCTGTGTGAACCGGCTACATTTGTGTAGATCTAGAGTTTGTCTTCTTAGTTCACTGACACTTTTACTGTAGTAAAACAAGAACAAACCTATTAATGCAATGATCAGAAGCACATTCAGCAGGACAGATATGAAGATGGTCATATTTCTCCATGGTATCTGGTGTTGTGGAGCGTCATCTGTCAGATTCCTGTGGACCGAGTCTGTAATATTATTTTGGAAAAAATCTGTAAAAGGTTTGAAGTTCAATCTTTAACAGAACCATGAAACTATTATTAGTTCTTCATACGTTATATTCAATAATGACTCAATCATGTGGTTTATAAAGACATGAAATGATAAAATAACTCACCGCTGATGTAGATTTTGGTGCCGTTGTTGAATTTTAGTGGTTCACTAGTTTTCACACAATAATAAACTCCTAATTCATCAATGGTGATATTCTTGATGAACAGACGACTGTTAGTTTTCACTGAGTATTTGTGTATAAAGATGCTGTTTTCATATTTACCTCCTTCATATGTGCTGCTGAAAGTGCGTAAGATCAACACTGGAGGATCCGGTAATTTCAGTTTGTACCAGTAAATCTCCTCTATATCAAGATCACAGGTTATAATCACATCAGATCCTAAAGTTACTGGTGTGTTTGTTAGACTCTCTGTGGCTTGATACAACATGAACAGATCTATGACAGAAAGAAATACACATTTATTAAGATATAAAAGAAAACTGACTCAATCAAATGTGAGATGAGAAACTCACAGATCTGCAGCTGTATGATCTTCATGATCTGATCCAGATGAATAATATCTGCTATAGTGATCATTCACACATCTCGTACTGTGAGGAAACACAAACCTCGACCACACAGACGAGAGGGGAAGTCAGAGCTGGGCTTCTCTGACAACATCATCATTCTTAGTGCTTTAAATCAACAAGTTATTAGAAGATATAGTTTGTGTTAATATGCCAGTGTGTTTTATTTGAATATACAGATGTGTGAATTTTGATTTGCTCCTCAAAAAAACACATCATTAAAAAATTGTATTTATTTATTTTTTGCTACCAGCACCAGGTGACATCAGATTGAGCTTTGACTAAAATGCCATTGCAAAGACTCATGCTTCAAGAAAACATCTGATGATATCTTGATGAACAGATGAAACCAAAGCCATCAATGTGCATCTCTGACTGGCTGTGTGCTTCCCGGTCCTCTGTGGTTTTATTGTCTCTTTTCACGCCAATCACTGCAACAAGACACGGGTGTTTGTCATTTTGCACTTGAACCATTTAAACCACTCGTCTCTATGAGGTGTGATTTGTGATTTACTTTGCAAACTGAGCAATCATCGTGTCGATCGTTGCGTACCTTGCCTTGACCAATCACGTGTGATAAGAATCATGACACTTTCATCGCCCCCCTTCTCGCCTCTACATGTGCATTGTGGCAAAATAATTATTTGAAAATCTTAGCCTAATAAAACTTTATAAATAAACACAAAATATTTGTTAAAAATTATGAAAGGAAATGTTTTTATTTAACTATTGTTTAACATTTTAATTGATTATTTTATTAGGCTATATCAATATCAACCGCTCACCCTCCGACTACTTTAAGTCTGTCCCGACTATTTAAGCTTTCTGGGGCACAGAGCAGAAAAAGGTAAAGGAAAAATAATAAGCTTAACCTATTATTATTATTACTTTAAGTCTTTAAATTGATCAACATTTAATAATGGTTAACTTTGGTTCAACTTTGCATTTCAGCGCTTGACATTTACGCTTGTTTGCTTGTCCGGGAGAAGTGTTTTTTTCTTGTTTTGGAAGGGGCAAGTGAAAGAGAATTTTACTTCAGTTTTTGCCGAAGCTCTGTATATTTCTATGGCATCGCTGTCAAAGAGTAATTAACTGTAATTAACTGTAGTCATTTACTTATTGTTAACGGAAGCTTATCATGAGCGTTGTAATGTTTGAAGTGGATGTCATAACAAATGTCGGCCCAGGAAGATTTCACTCAAAAATCCATAAGATCTTACATTCATGCTCTGGAAATCCAAACCGGAAGACACATCGAGCGCAGCGCTGAAAAGGGGCGGGGCTTCACAAGTTTACCTCTTATGAACAAGGGGGTAATCCATCCGCCGGAAACTGAAGCTTCCTCTGGGAGCCGCCATTGTAGCAGACTATCACCTGCTGTTAGCATCCCATTGACTCCCATTCATTTTGGCGTCACTTTGACAGCGAATAACTTTACATCTGAGGCGGAAGCCTGCAGAACCATAGGCCGTGCCACATTAGATGGCACTTTAGGCACATAGCCTGGCATGGGATGCAAGTTTAAAGACTCCATTTGTCCATTATTTATTTCTAAAGAAACACAACAATGTATAAAAGGCTCCATTACTTTGTATCTTATGTTATGGCCCCATAGAAGCCGTTTTTGTAAAAATAGGCTAACGATTGCGTCATAACACGCGACTCTCTGTCGCACACAAGAGAAATTACCGTAAGTAGAAGCTCGCAGGCAATCGGGGGGACGTGGAGGCATAAAGTCAAGGGAGAAGCCCATAGAGAGTCATAAAGTTGCTGCTCATGGACAGCTCCTACTCACGATCTCCGGCTCTGCAAGATTCGTAAGGGAATGATTCAGATTCCTCTTGGCACAGCTACTAGAAGACGTACAACTGTCAGACAGGTTACTCACGTCACATCTACGTCGTCAAGCTCAGTTTGAGCCTGCGCAGTTCGCTTGGCTATCAGGAAGTGAGTGCTTCTATTGGCCTTCAATTCTCTCCGTTGAAATCAATGGGGTCGCAGTCTTTTACTGTCTATGCTTATGAACAGTGATTTTACTGATAATAAACCTATACATAAAATACATTTACAACACAGTAAAATAAATGATGAACACATGATAAAGGTCTCTAAATAAGTTTTAATATGACCTAAATTTAGCAAATAGACAAAATCCACATCCTTAGATTTAGTCCTTACATATTTTTACCTTGTGTTTTTAAAGCACATGCAGTGAACAAACAAGGTTCACAACACAACGGAAATGCAACTTGGTTTTATTTTGTACACTTATAGGCAATGTAGTCAATATAGTCAATGTTTTTGATTTATTGTCAGTAAAAAAAAAAAAAAATCCTGGTTCTCTTGCTCAACACTGCCCTCTTGTGGTCAGGAGGCGTTTCCTTTGTAATGTGGATTCATTTTTTTGTTTCAATAGAAATAAACAAACTCCAAAAGCATTGAACAGCAGCAGGAAACATGAAAACATTATTTCTGGTCACATATTTCTGATTCTAGGATATATTATGAAAATGAAAATCTCACATGCATAATTGGTTATATATTACTTGCCCCTAAACAGCACATACATTTATGTATAAATCAATATCAAGCTCTCAGTCGCACTGTTGGCCTGAATATCAGCACATATGCATAATTATAACCATATTTATAAGCTTTATACTTTAACATAGAGGAAGACATATTGTGTTACTTTATATTTTCATGTAACATATCAGTGTTTGTGTTGAGTCTTGAGGTTGTTCGAAATCCATATCTTGAAGATTTTGTAGGTCTGTACTTTGAAATTGTTTCAAGTCGTCTCCGTTTCTTGCATGAACAAACATCTTTAATAGTCCTTAAAAGTGAAATAAGATTTAACATTAAATGAGTAGTTCAGACAAAAACATTATTTATTCACTCACATTTCATGGTTTTGTTCTTTCTGTAACATAACAATTGTAGTCACTATAAAGAGCTGTAACTGCAAGAGCTGTTAACATATTCTTAACATATTCTTTTTAAATAACATACTGATATTATAGTGAGAATTCAAGAGCACAATGTCCACATTTGGAGACATACATGTATAATTTCACCAAAGAGCTCACCTATGACCACTATGATCAGAACAGCGTTCAACAGAGCAGATATGAAGATAATAATCTGCCAATGTGTCTGATTCCTCTCAATGTTCTTCACCGCTGTATGATTCTGGATCTCTGCAGCTGGACTTGGTACTGTGTATTCATTGAAGGGGTTTAATATTAATATCTCATATGTATTTGTCTAACAGTGATTAAGTGTTTAGCTTGATGATCACTGAATGTTCACTCACCGCTGATGTGTATTCTGGTGCCGTCGCTGTATTTTGGAGGAGCGTCTTTGGTCTCACAGTAATAAAGTCCTAAATCATCAATAGTGACATTATTTATGAACAGGCGATGATTACTTTGCACTGAATATTTCTGCCTAAAAGCTTTACTGTAGTAAAAAGGAGCTGAAGCTGTGGAAGAGAGTAATATGACAACCGGAGAATCTGGAAGTTTCAGTAATAACCAGTTAACCTCCTTTACACCAAAATCACAGTTTATAGACACATTTTGACCCAAATCTGTTAGTTGATCAGTTAAAGTCTCCGCAGCTTCACACCATATGAGCAGATCTGTGAAATAAACACACACACACACACACACACTAAAAATGGATTATTGTGTCATTAAACATTATAAATCAACTTATAAAGAACAATCATATATTGATAAAGTACATTAACTCACAGAGGCGAAGCTGCACAATCTTCATGATGTTAACACACTTGTTTCTTTCACACGACTGTAGAGATGTAACTTTACCTCAGAGCTGTCAGACGGATAGTGTGATTTAACCACAGTCAAGAGGAAGTTAAAGGCAGGTTTGCTCTGGCCACACGTTTAGTTCTGGTGTCTATTTGTTCAAAACTCAAACCTTGACCTATACATCATTTCTTGTCTTTAAAAATATATATTTATCTCTAATTCACTGCAGCAAAAGGACCCAAGACACTGAGAACAGCCCAGTTTTCTTTTTTTCAGTGTCATTCAAACACAAATATGATGTTTTCTTCATCTATTCTCGTTCTTTGATTATTAACTCATAAGTTTAGATTAGGTTTTAAGTTTCTGTCTCTTAATATTACAACCATAAACAATATTTATCCTCGAGGCAAGTCAGTACTCTATGTATTTTAATTAATCTGGATTGAATTTCCTTTTGCCTAGTACTTCTTTTTAACTAGAAAATATTAAGAAGTGTGAAACTTATTTCTAACATTTGTTATACAATTTATTCATCTTATGATGTTTCCTAACAAAGTTCGGGAGGAGCATGTTCAGATAATTAAACACATGTGGAGCACATTCAGGTAATCAAGCCTAATTAGACACGAGTGGAGCACACTCCCAATCAATGAGGTAAGAGGTATATATTCAGCAAACTTAACTCAGTTCTTTGACAGTCTAACAGCATCCCTCCACCACCCCATCTCCTCACTTCTTCTCCTAAATACTCTTACAACAAGGGGGAGCACTCTGGGTTCGGGCAAAAATTTCCGAGCTCGGAGCCCTCCCCCTGGACAGCACGCCAAATACGCATAATCTTTACTCTGTTTAATTGATGTAAATGTGAACTCGTGAATGTTAATGTTAGTTAATACAAATTCAGCTGTTCATTGTTGGTTCATGTTCGCTCAGGTTCATTAAATAATATTAACAGATACAGCTTGTGTTTTTAATAATGTACTTCATTAAATTTCAATTAAAAATTAAATTAGCATGAACTAAAATAATAACTGCGGTAGAAGTATTTCTTTTTTTATTTTGTTGTTAGTTCATGATGGTTAAGTTTAACAAATGGATCATAATTGTAAAGTGTTTTCATGGTGTTTCATGTCATGTTCACTTGGTTAAAGTTTAAACTGCTTGATGCATGCGAGTGTGTGTGATCGTGTTGTTCATCAAGTGACCAAACCAGTGGAACACTTCATTTGCACGAAACCATGCTTGTGTTAACCACAAAACAGAGAGCAGAAGATGTTTTTAAATATGTGAAAAAAATATTTAAAATTATTAATATGCATGCCAGAATATAACTTTAGATTTATTGACATGTGTTCAAGCTTAGTCAAATCTCTGTAAAAAATAAACTAGCAGAAAATGTCATGATTTCAAAAAATTGTTTAATGTGAAGTGTGATTTAATATCAGGAATAACTACATTTTTACTGATAAAAAGCTGCTTCAGCCCCAAAAAAGCTCATTTTGAGGTTTACAACTTTTACTGCTGAGCATGTCAGCGCACTTATAATAGAGAGAGAACAATGATTATATTATTATATATAAGGAAGATCTCCACTTAAAACACCAGCAAAAAGTGTTACTATCATACACACTGCATATTTACATACAAATCAGCAAACTCATAAATGAAAATGGAAATTAAAATCCACACATTTAAAATATAATAACAGTCAATTTTAGTTTGTAAAAAAAAAAAAACATATGTAGGTACACTTTATATTCATAACACGTATCACATCGTACATTGGCTGTAGACAGTAGTGCTCTGCTCCTGACTAGGCCTGGTGTTTCTGGAGCTCATGAAGAAATCAACTTCAGCACACTGAAAGAGGACCATATTATATATGAATGGACATATACAGTATATTAGACATAATGTACAGTCAGCTGGTCATAAACATTTCAGATCATTTAATGAATCTTGTGTATGCAGCTTGAAGTTGCACTGTAAGAATCACCGGGATAATAGAGGACAAAATAAGATAACATATATTAATATTGAAGATGCATCTTACCTGTGGATTATTTGAGTTTTGAGCAGCAGATTTTCCAGTTGCATCAATGAATCTCTTCACCAAACCTGAAACACACTGGATATCTGAGAGGTGTCTCGAGAGATGCGTTTTTTAAAAGTTAAACTTTTTTAGCATTTTCAGAGCGGCATGTCTCGCACGAGACGCTGCAAAAGAAGACAGACGTGAGCGCAACAGTTAAATTAGTGTAGTGTGTGTTTACATTAAAAAACAATGCAAAAGTATCGCAGTGGAATAGAAAAACACATTCTGTGTGAACCGGCTACATTTGTGTAGATCTAGAGTTTGTCTTCTTAGTTCACTGACACTTTTACTGTAGTAAAACAAGAACAAACCTATTAATGCAATGATCAGAAGCACATTCAGCAGGACAGATATGATGATGGTCATATTTCTCCATGGTATCTGGTGTTGTGGAGCGTCATCTGTCTGATTCCTGTGGACCGAGTCTGTAATATTATTATGGACAAAGTCTGTAAAATGTTTGAAGTTTAATCTTTCAATTTCAGTCTTTAACAGAACAATAAAACTATTATTAGATCTTCATACAGTATTTTCAAGGAATCCATGTGGTTTATAAAGACATGAAATGATAAAATAACTCACCGCTGATGTAGATTTTGGTGCCGTTGTTGAATTTTAGTGGTTCACTAGTTTTCACACAATAATAAACTCCTAATTCATCAATGGTGATATTCTTGATGAACAGACGACTGTTAGTTTTCGCTGAGTATTTGTGAATAAAGATGCTGTTTTCATATTTACCTCCTTCAGTTGTGCTGCTGAAAGTGCGTAAGATCAACACTGGAGGATCCGGTAATTTCAGTTTGTACCAGTAAATCTCCTCTATATCAAGATCACAGGTTATAATCACATCAGATCCTAAAGTTACTGCTGTGTTTGTTAGACTCTCTGTGGCTTGATACAACATGAACAGATCTATGACAGAAATAAAAACACATTTATTAAGATATAAAATCAAAATAAAACTGACTCAATCAAATGTGACATGAGAAACTCACAGATCTGCAGCTGTATGATCTTCATGATCTGATCCAGATGAATAATATCTGCTATAGTGATCATTCACACATCTCGTACTGTGAGGAAACACAAACCTCGACCACACAGACGAGAGGGGAAGTCAGAGCTGGGCTTCTCTGAAAGCATCATCAATCTTAGATGTTTAAATCAACAAGTAATTAGAAGATATAGTTTGTGTTAATATGCCAGTGTTTTTTACTTGAATACACAGATGTGTGCATTTTGATTTCCTCATAAAAAAACACATAATCATATTCAATTTTATTTATTTCTTTTTTTTGCTACCAGCACCAGGTGACATCAGATTGAACTTTGACTAAAATGCCATTGTAAAGACTCATGCTCAAAGAAAACATCTGATGATATCTTGATGAACAGAGGAAACCAAAGCCATCAATGTGCAATGTGTGTGTTCAGATGTTTAGTGGTAAAACATGCAGTGTTTAAGAAACACTATCATACAGGCTAGAGCACCTTCCACGAGAAGGCTCTATGCTTCTAAATGGTCTGTGTTCTCAAAATGGTGCACCAACAAACATCTGGACCCAAGGTCATGCGAGGTGCCGTCTTTGCTTGTTTTCCTTCAAGAGATGCTGGACAAGGGCAGGTCCCCCTCCACTCTCAAGGTTTACGTGGCAGCCGTCGCGGCGTTCTCTGAACCCCGACGCGCTCAGTCCCTGGGCAAAGACGAGTTAGTCATCCGCTTCCTCAGGGGAGCTAAGAGGATGAACCCTCCGCGCCCCCCTTCGGTTCCTATCTGGGATCTTTCTATAGTTCTCGAAGCTATGAAAGCACCCCCGTTCGAACCGCTGGAGTCTGTGGACCTAAAATACCTCTCGCTCAAAACCGTTTTTCTGACGGCTCTGTCCTCAGTAAAACGCGTGGGGGATCTTCACGCGCTCTCATCCAGCGCCGCGTGTCTCGAGTTTGGTCCGAATGATTCTGTTGTCATTCTCAAACCTAGACATGGCTATGTCCCGAAGGCGATTGGTACCCCGTTCAGGGCTCAGATTATTTCCCTATCGGCTCTGCCTTCATCCGATAGTGAGCGCGACGCCAATCTCCTCTGCCCGGTGCGGGCTCTGAGATTGTACACTACGCGCGCTGCCGCGTTCAGACGCGCTGAGCAGCTTTTCGTGTCGTTTGGGGGGCGCACCAAAGGTCTGGCCGCCTCTAAACAGACACTGTCTAGATGGATAGTAGACGCTATCGCCTCTGCTTACGCATCTAAATGCCTGCCCTGCCCTCTGGGCATCAGGGCGCACTCCACTAGAGGCATGGCCTCATCGTGGGCATGGTCCTGTGGAATTTCCATTCATGACATTTGTGTGGCCGCGGGATGGGCCTCCCCGTCCACTTTTGTCAGATTTTACAACTTGGAAGTTCCCGCCTTGCAGGCAAAATTACTAGCTGTCTAACGACCAGCTCCCTAAGAAGCTGCATTACTGGGAGTCCCTCACACAACCGGTTCGCCCCTTGTGCTCTCCTTAAATGCTTATACACTTCATGTGCCCGCTCTGCCGGCCTCATAATACATTCACTCCACGTTAAAAATCCCCCGGTATCACCCTGGGATTCATAAGTGGATTCATAGCGCGCACGGCGTTGACCAGGTGTTCCCGCAGCGTAAGCTAGCTTACGCAATACGAGAGAACCTCTCGTAAGAGAACGAATCGGTTACCTAACGTAACCTCGGTTCTCTCTAGAAGAGGGAACGAGTATTGCGTTCCCGGCCGTGCTTGCGCTACTAGCGTTTCGCTTCACGCTGAAATAAATCAACATATAAGCCTGGGAGAGACTGTTATATACACCATAGCCACGCCCATTCTGGCGGGCCATGACGCAATGAGCGCGCGGGCGCCTCTCAATGGAAGCGGGTTCAGCCCCGCTCTCCCATAGGCTTAAGCAGTTCTCTCTGAGCGAACCAATGAGCTGCTAGCTAGCCTGCTCTAGGTCTGCCGCAGAGGAACTGCGTTGTCAATGGATACAAATTATGAAATAATTTTTTGGCTTCAATATCTCAGCAAAGATGAATCTTTCCCGCAGCGTAAGCTAGCTTACGCAATAC